TTGAGCTCCTGTTGCTCCGGTGGCTCCTGTATCGCCTTGTGGACCAGATACCCCAGTATTTCCTGTGATTCCTCTCGACCCCTGTGAACCATTCACTCCTGTTGCTCCCGTATATCCAGATGGGCCTTGTAAACCTGTCACACCAGTTTGGCCAGTAAATCCAATTCCTCCGGTTGCACCCTGAATTCCTGGAGGTCCCGGTTTTCCCGGTTGTCCCATGAGCCCCGGTAATCCTCTAACCGTGTAATCTGCTGTAATTTAAAAATGTACATAGTGTATAACATGTTGTTTTGTTGAAATGTTGATTGAGTTAAAATTTCAAAAGATTGATATGTTATTAACACTAAGTAATTGTAATTTTCAACTGAATTGAAAAATTTAACAGCAGCACGAACCAAGATTGGCCATTCTCAGTTGGAAGTCATTCATAATGCGTGAGTATCTCTCAATCAGGGCCATTTGTTTCTGCTTCAAGAGGCTCATGCGCTCGTTGTAGATCGCTCCAAAGTTCTCGTTCTTTTTCATTTTTGTGCTGATTAAAGATCAAAAGTATTACACTCTTCCTAAACGCACTCACACACACACACACACGCACACACACGCACGCACACACACGCACGCACACACACACACATTATTATTATTATTATAAACAGCGATTAATCAAAACGACAGAGACTTTGGATGTTGGATGTTTTAATTGGTTAAAATTTTCAATACTTACATACATAATAACAAATGATCAGCCCGTCAACGTCATCGATAAGCAATTGTCTTTCAAGTAAATAGATTATATTAGAATAAATAATTCACCAACCATAATTTAAATTGGGACAATCACCCACCCCCAGCTGGTTATACCGGGCAGATATAGAAAATCATTTTTAATGAAAAATCAAAGTTTGAAGAATAAAAAATGCAATACTAAGTATTTCAGTCTTGTTTTTGTTGAAAGCCGATATGAAACTGTTCACATTGTATCCCATCTCTTCGTATAATTTATCCAGTTTCCATGAGCTCTGCCTGACATCCGTGTAGAAGTTGTTCAGGCAAACGGAGCACGTATCGCTGCTGTACTTCTCGGTGCTTTGAGAAAATAGGCCCTGGTATTTTAGTAGCGAGAAGATACAGAATGAAATTAATTTAATGGAGTTGAATTTCCATGCCATCTCAGTTTATTCTTAGGTTATGCGATTTCCAAGCTAGTTAGGATGATGGTGTTTGTGATTATTGTAATGATTATGCTGATTAAGGCAATATTTGCGTTAATTACGACGATGATTACGCTGAAATGTTGATACTTTTGACGATTTTTCACTAAAATTTTCCACAAGTAAATCCTTATTTAGATTTTAGAAATATTCCATCTAATATTTCTTGTGTCTTCTTGTTTAAGTGTTGTTCTGCTGTTTATTTATTCTTTGTTATTATTAATTTATTATTTAATTGCCAACCAGCCAGCAACAACAACAAAACACACAACAACTACAGCAGCAGCAACAACATGAAAACACACAAATAACATACAAACAGCAAAAAACAACACAAATCACATACGAACAACAAACAACGCTCAAACAGTCCAACAAAACACACAAAAACAACAAAACCTTTTCAGATTACGTACGAGGGGACATTGGGCCCACGGGAAGTACCGGAGCTACAGGCTACTTTGGATTTACGGGTGCGACTGGTGCAATGGGAGCTACAGGTCCACAGGGTCTACCCGGACCTAGAGGGCAAACAGGTTTTCCCGGACCGACAGGACAACCAGGTTTTTCCGGATCGACAGGGCAACCAGGTCCACCGGGTCCACAGGGTCCACA